AGCCAAAATGGGGTCCCTGGCTCACAATTACCGGTTTCGGCACTCACAACATCGAGAAATGCCTTAAATCGGAAATATTGAATTTCAAAATTGCAGCATTTTGATTCAGAGGGGCTAATGCATAGGAATACCCCTCTGAATGTGTGACGTCAGCGCAGATATCTAACGATTTTTAAATGTTTGACTAAAACGTTTGGTAGCACGCGGTGGTATATGCTGCTTTGCGCGCAACAAATGCCGCACTTTCAAATAAAGTCGCCTGGAACAGCGTTAGATCCCAAAAAGTAAACAAAAGTAAAAGTCTAATATCTTAAAAACCGGTGAATATTTTTCGATGAAATTTGGTAGATATTGGTTTCCGCTCTTTCTGAACCGAGCGACATCACTTTCATGTCAATTCATTAACTTTTTTGAAGGTGAGAGGGTCCCTTTAACTCCATACGGTCCAGGAAAGCTGGCACACTACCTTTGAGTCCTGACCTAACTTTATAGTAGTCCTGATAAACGATGTAGGAAGAGAAAACGATACTCTTACAGAAACAACAGACCAATTTCATCGCCATAAAAATGTTTTAGTTGCCTGCCTAATTCAATATACCCTAGTTGCCTGCACGTTTCCCGCAAAAGCTGAAAAGGCACTTCGGGCTTCGTTATTTTCATCAACAGAACATGAGCAAGCGCCCCGCGGATGTAGTCATCCGAGATTATACCATGCGGCGTTATATAAGCAGCGCAGAATCAAGGCCCGGAGAATGCGCCATGTGTGTGCAGACCATGACTGCATGAATTAGTGATGAGCGGACGACAGTGACACAGCACCAGAGCTGAGTTCGGTTTCACCAGAGCATTGCGGTTGGACGGCGCCGGAGCGCTGTAATACGGTTACGCTCTCCGAACTCTTAATAATCTCCCTCCGAACCACTGCGACCTGCCGCGGCGACCGCCTTGCCCTTCCGCGAAAGACCGGAGAACTGAGAAGGGTTCACACAGCTTACTTCAGCTTGTACGGCTAACGCTGAAAGCTATGAAACTGTTTACCTGCCCAGCCCAGTGAGGCAGCTGAGACACGCCTTTGTCGCACAGCAATTGCTATAACCTGCAGGTGCTATAATTATAGCACCTGGACGTTGGCAAACTGCAGTGGTGGAGCAGCTGTGCCTAGCGCTAGCTCCACGGAACCACCAGGCCAACACCATGCAGCCGGGTGCCGATCCAATTGGGGAGGTTTGTTTGTCGTGGTTGGCTCGCGGTCGTCCTTCGCCGGTCTCGCGTCCCGCCCCGCGTCGGGTGACTGTAAATCCAGATCACTGCGCACGTGCAGGACGGGAGTCGATACTGCAGCTAAATAACCTACCGCAGGAATTTCAGCGTCAACAGCGGCAACATAACGAGGCGATTGCGGATCACCCGGCACCTCGACATGAGAAGGAATGATGCGTTGCTTGGCATCATGACACTAGCCAGAACAATTTAAAAGCGGTCACCAAACCTTTCCGGGCGTTGGCTATCGCTCGCTACACGTTTTCCGCTGGCGAGCCTGTCCTTACGGCCTGCTTCTGTGCGTTGTGGTACGTACTGAAGTTGCTAGCCCATTATCATTTCAAACGATCAAGTGTCATGTGTGAATTTAGTGTCGTCAATACCATTCCAGCGATTCCTGTAAACCATGGAATAACGCAGAGGCGTTATGCTGATTGCCAAGTCATCGTGACTTGACGTAACATCTAAGTGCTGGACACGGTGGGGCAGTTTCGACTTTCGCTGACACATGCTTCACTTGTTAGCCATGGGACACCAGCATCATTTCCCAGAACTTCTCTTAAAAGTTGTATAAAGCCAAACACTTCTGCTAGACCAATTTTTATACGATAGCAAAAAGCAAACAGTGTGACGATTTGTGGTCCCGTGAAGCAATAAAAGATCAAAATCCCGACGCTTTCAAGGTAAAAGCAGGGTCAGCACCGATAATTTAGCGAGAACTGTAGCTCGAAAAGTGCAGGAGACACCTGTAAAGCTATACCTAGCAGATCTGTGTCCTCCCCGCCCCCTTCCGCCTGTCACATCAGATACAGACACACGGTGGACCACATCCTCGGCCACAGCGGCTGGCCGCAGCGGCCGAGGCCTGAGCGCTGCGCCCCACTGAACGCAATGTGCTGCATCATTCCTCGCTGCACCGCTAACCAGGAGCCACAGACACAGCACGAGGGAGTCCGGCCTGCAGGATGCAGAGGACATGGAACCAGTGCGGAGCGATGCACAGTGCATGCACACCATCGAGTCGGTCCCATGTCCGCCAGCTGCAGAGACCATGATCGGCTTACATACAGCGTTGCACGTGCACTGGTCAGTACCGACGGCCGTTAGCAAAGTGACCCTGACCCAGCCCCTGGCCCAGTGGGCAGTGGGCAGTGGGCACGGTCCCAAAGATCGTCCGCAAAGTGATGCGACCCCTTCACAGCTGAGCTGTGCCCGTGCCGAGGCCGTTAGAAGGGTGACCCAGTCCCCTTCACAGCCTAAACTGACCAGAGGCCGTCCGACCGTGCAGCGTCGCGGCCGGCGAAAGTGGCGCACGGAAACGGTCCGAATGCTCCGGGATTGTCGACACACGGCAGGAGAGCGGCAATCACGTGACGTCAGCGTCAGAGACGGAGAGGTCAAACAGACGGGTGTTAATAGACGGGGTGCCGGCGGCAATAAACGGGGGCGCGGGTGGAAAAAAAGACGGGGCACGGGCGGCAATAAACGGGGGCGCGGGACTGGACAAAAAAAAAAAGACGGGGACGCGGACGGCAATAGACGGGACACGGGTGGAAATAGACGGACACGGGTGAAATAGATAGGGCACACGAGTTGAAATAGATGGGGAACGGGTGGAAATAGACGGGACACGGGTGGAGGCAGATAGGGCACGGGTGAACTAGACGGGGCAAGGGCGGAAAAAGACGATTGTACGCGAGCATCACCAATCAGTGGAGGGCGGTGGATGAAGTGTGCGGGAAAATCCTCGGGATCTGTCACTCCAATATTTGTGATTTACACTTCAAGGCCTTACGGAAGTCACCAAAAGGAGCTTTGAATGAAAAAATAATGCACACGGATTGATTAATTGGTGTTTGACTAGACAGTAGCTAGGCACTAACAGCTGAGACACCAGTCGGACAGCACGCCTGGGAGCAAAAGGTTCATTTGAGAGACAATTATCAAATAGGTCTAGAATGTCTCCATTATCCCGCACATGCTCGTGTGTAAATAGGCGCGGTAACCGGGGGGGGCAGTGGGGGCAGCTTGCCCCCACAACTCTATAGGCTGTGGGGGCGGTGCCCCCACAACTTTGAGACGGATTACCGCACTTTTTGCCAATGTTTTCTTTTTTTGTTGAAAAAGCAAAGGGATGAAAAATAAGTGGCCTAAAACCGGTGAAAAAACTAGATTTGGGGGTACCCTAGGTTAATCTCTATTATGGTGTGCCCCCCCCCCCCCCGTCTGAAAGTAGTTCCCGCGCCCCTGCGTAAAATCCAACAGACTTTTGCTACTATAAATCGGTGACAAGATCGGCAGACCGAAAGAACAGAACTGGTTCCTACCCATGGTCAACAACGATCGTTTTTGATAATTGGTTCCTATTAAAATTACTCTATGGCGTCAGCGTCAAAGCCGACCATTAGCAATCTGAGCCGTCTATGAGATATTGTGCCCAAAAACAGAATCATACATACTCGTTGTAAAAGTTGGCATCCGATTGACATCTCTACGCCTAATATTTACCTACAACAAATGTATAGGTATGATGTATATCGGCCGTTTCTAAACTGGCACGACGTTTCACAGCTTGATACGCATGCTGTTATTGATGCATTTCGGCATTTTATCTAATTTTGGTTGTAAATTCTTTACTTGACGAGGCAACGACGTCATTTATTATTATCATTCCGTGCGTTACCGAGAAAATCGAGTACAATTTGTGCGGCTAACATAGGCAGGTATGAGAAGTCCTATACGAAGGTATGCAAAAAAAGAAAACATTTGACATCCGACCAAAACTTATTTCTTCTAAGCCAATGGACGAGACGACAATTGGTCGCACCGGCTCGAGTGGACTGTGCCGCACTTGGTTTTAATTCCCGTGAACCGGGCGCGGGCCGTGACAAGTGACATGGCTGAGGTGGGGGGTCCGTGGTGCCAATTACATGGCTCAGGTAGTGTGGTTCAGGTCCGTAATGTACTTATTTGACCATCCGAACCACTATTTTTTCGAACAATGCGACCTTGTTGTGCCGGGTAGCTTTCGCCAATTAAATCGTACTGACTTATGTAGAGTGGGTACCATAGGCGGCGGAACGGGGAGGGCACTGGGGCGCCGTGCCCCCCTTTGATTTTGACATTTTAACATTAGCCCTATGGGCGTTGCATGGAAAGAATGGGACCAAAAGTCGGCAGTGCCCCCCCCCCCCCCTCCTTTAATTGAAGGTGTTCCGCCGCTACTGGTGGGTACCGACTCAACCAACCATCTTTCTTGCTGCATCTAACGATCTTAAACTGTATAGTCGACTGCAGAATGATGTTCCACTTTTCACAGGCAATTAGTTGCCTGGAGTGGTAGGCTGTGCCGCATCACACGGGCTGAGTTCACAAATTAGGTATAGCTTTGTCCCGATGCTATAATCGACACGCAATCGACACGCTTAATTGCGTGATAAACGGCACAACTTAGCGCTCCGGTCAACTGATAGCTTCTGAGGAGTGGAACATCATTCTGTAGTCGACTATACAGTGCACAGTGAGTGTGCAGTTGCACAGATATCAGATCGTTAACAAACAGCAGTTTTCAAGAAAAGAAACACTGAAGGATTGGTTACCTATCACTTCTCTCGAAGATTTGTCTCCATAATGAATAACCCAGACGATGTTCCGCACTCAGTGCCAGCGACTCACCTTTCAGTACATCCAGTCACTGTCGGTTTCACGCCGTCTCACCCATTCCCCGGGCTGCGACTCACCTTCAAAGCACGTCAGGGCCGTTCCGCTTCTCTCCGTCTCCGGACCGTTTATTACCAGCCTCCGGAGCGGCGGAACAAACAGCGGCGCGCGTGCAGCCAGCAGCACGCCGAGCCAGGCCCTAAACGTTCTGAGCGCGCACACCGACTGCGCCCACAGCCCCGAGCGACGCACGAGCAGCGGTCGTCACACGCAGCACGCGACTGCACGGGCCGAGCGCGCCGCCGCCGCCGCCGCCGCCCGTGCAGCCCCGCCCCCAGGAGGGCTTCCAGCAGTGCCGTCTGTTGTGGTAACGCGGCGTGTTGCCATCTGGGGGGGGGGGGGGCGAAGGGGAAGGGACGCACGAAGTTATGTAACTCGGACGGTAACTGGGTGATAGATCGGCTGATGTCATTGTCCATCCAAACGGCAACATCAGGCATAATGGGAACTTATCCCTCGCCCGTACCAATTGGTGTTGTAAGTATGTACATACAAGCGTTTAGCCCTCGCGCTGCTGGAGGAAGGGGGTGTTTGAACAACCTCTCAGATTTTTCGCTCATATGTCAAAAAACGGTAGCCACACTTTATTATGCATCTTTTCGGCATAGGTTGTGAAAATTTCAGACCAATGTCACCTAAGGTCAAGTCACCAGGTCAGGTCAGGTCAAGTGACATACTTAATTTCATAAAAATTTTCGATGTCAGGCGTCAGCGATTGATAAGAGCAATAGTGGGTACAAAATTAATCGGAATTTTGACATCGGTGACGTGACCTACCTAAGGTCAGGTCAACAACAATTTTGCGACCTCTGGCCATTTGGTACCTATAAGTCATTGGGAAAAAATTGCGCCTCTTTTGGCTGGACGTCTTTCTTAACCCTCGCCTCGTTGCGCCAAATTTTCAGTACCTTCCCGGGCATCAATTTGACACCTTCACACCAAATTTCAAGTCTTAGGTCACCTTAGGTCAGGAGTTGTTGAGGTCAAACTGAGGTCATGTTCGAGCAAAAATGAGCAAAAAACATGCAATCTTGAAACGCTCAACAAATCTACAGTTACCAAGCAATTTCAAAGTTCTTTATATGGTCTAGTAGACAAAAAGCGGCGCTACCAAACTGCTATCTCGGATTTTCAAAATTTTGGGTTTTTGACCCCCAAAAACTCAAAAAATTGAATTTTTTTAGAAAACTAAAAAAAATGCCAGCCTCTAAGCAGGGCTCTGAAGGAAGACCTTAACCCGGCAAGCGGTGGGCCTACCAGCCACCTTCCGCGCGGGGGGGGGCATTCCCCCCCCCGTATCTCCGAAACTACTGGACGGATCCGGAAAATTCAAACGTCGTTCGATAGCCCTGTCAAATTTGTTTTGAAGAAACCAAATTTCATTGACCTCGGGGTCACCGATGACGTCACAGGTCAGGTCAAAGATAAATGTTTCACCGTTCACGGGGCTTCTAGGGAAAGCGCTATAACACCGAGTAAAACGCATTTTGTCGAAAATCAGCGATAAGGCGTCAGTTGTCTAGTACATATGTTGCTATTAGAGGTCACTGGTCATACCAGGTCAGGTCACAGGTCAGGTCACCAAAGGTCACCAAGGGTCACCACATGAGCCCAACTTTACTAAGGTTATGCGATGCATGTTTTATGGCCAGTTTTTCATTTCCAACTCAATGGTGTTGGTTATAAGACCATCTGGTACGGTTTAGGTCACTTTCTGGTGGAGGTCAGGTCAAGGTCAGGTAAAAAAAGGTCAAATTTCAAAGTTGATATTTTTGCATAAAATGGGTATCGATTCGATGCAGCTCGTCACGGGGAGTCTAATGGTGGTCTTTGTTTTGCGCTACGAGGTCTAGAATTGCTAAAATTGAGTTTGAAAATTTGACGTAATCAATTTTGAACAGTTTTTTCGCTATAACTTGGCCAAAAAAGAGGTATCGATCTCAAATTTGTTATGTAGATATAAAGCGGTAGGGACTATCACATATATTCCGTTTTTTTTTCGAAATTCAAAAAACTTTTTGGATTTTTTGCTATTATATTCAAAAAATCTATTTATTGATTTTTGGGGGTCAAACTCCAAAAATTCGAAAAACCGAAATAGCAGTTTTGTAGCCCTTTTGATTTCACAATTCACACCTCTTATGTCTGAAACATTTTTCTGTATCTCTAAAGCTGTAGGCCTGACAGCTCTTCCCGCGAAACCTTTTTTTGGGTCGAAAATGACAAAAATGACGTCACTCTGACGTCATTAGCGGCCAACCTATCATAGCCTTTGGAAACATTTTTGGTCACCATGTGCGCTAGCTGCCTCCGGGAGGGTACTGCAAGTTTGGTGACGATCGGCGCAGCGGTTCTCGATATATATTGAAAAAACTAAGGGGGGGGGGGCAAAAAAATGCCCCCCACCGCCTGGAAGGTTAACATTATCAGTCAATGACAAGTGCCTTTATTTTCAATTTTTATTAATAGACCATTTTGATAAAAATTAGGTAGGGCTCTCAAACTACCAATGCCAAAAAATTGGTTAAGATCAAACACATATACAACGAGAAATAGCCGAAAAGGAGGGTTCCACAGGGTCTGAAATGCATAATAGGTTATAGGTAGTGAAAATTTGGTGGCGCTGTGCGCCGCCATTTTTCGCTTTTCAAGAAAAACCACAGGGGGGGGGGCCAAAATGGTCCCATCATGACGCGAGTTAAGCCACAGTAAGCCAGAGCAGTTACGAGACCACCGGACCTAGCATAGCACGCCGTGGCAGGCAACCGGACTTGAGCCGGGTTTGGCGGTCCGAAACAATACCAACTCCGGGGTCCGGAGCACTACGGCAAAGTGTAAAGTATCTGTTGTAAGTATGTAAAGTATCTAAAGTAAGTATGTATGTAAGTATGTAAGTATGTAAAGTATCTAAAGTAGTAAGTAAAGTATCTAAAGTGTAAAGTATGAGTTGTCGTTATCCAACTACGGCAAAGACTGACTAGACGGAATAGAGCCATATCGACCCAAACCCCTGTTCCGACGGCGTTCCGTTTACATCGGCCCAAATCTGGAATGTCGGAAACGGAGTTGCCGGGGCAAAATGGTCTTCAGAGCCAAACCCAATTGCTGGCTAGTGGCTGGGCGGCTGGGGTAGTTCCTGAGTTAGGTAGGCATAAAGTGGCTGTCATAGGTGAAATCGTCAAGTTGACCTTTTGAGGCTTTTGAGGTTACTGAGGTCACCTGAGGTCACTGTCTCCTTATGGGCTGATGAAAGAGCACACCGAAAATCGACATGGTGGCGTTTTCGTCTCCCGCGGCCCAGTATTTCCTGAGTTTAGAAGAATCTTGGCTTACCTAGAATGGCTGCGAAATTGACCTTTTAAGGTCACTGAGGTTACCATATTCGAAGAAGCTTATACAACTGGAACACGCAGTGGCGGATCCAGGGGAGGGCAAATGGGGCAATTGCCCCTCCCAAACGGCATAATTTTAACAGTTACGCCTATGGACGGTGCATGGAAAGAACCGATAAATTTGTATGGCTTGCCCCTCCCAAAACTCTGAGCTGGATCCGCCAGTGGGAACACGGCGACTCAACTGGTGTGTTTTCGTCTCGATCAGCTAAGTAGTTCCTGAGTTATAGTATCGCTGTAAATGTAGCAGTCGATTAGTGATGTATAATTGTTTTCTTCGTTTGGGACCCTCCCACCTTAACATTAGTTTTGAGTTGAGATAGCCAAATTGGTGGCCATGGCCTGAAAATGGACAACACTATTCGACCGCCACCCTTGCAGCCATTCTATAACTCAGGAACTACTGGACCGATCGGAACGAACGAAACACCATTCGAATCAGGGGGTACGATTTTATCAGCCGTTTCGAAGCTCGTGACCCCAGGTGACCTCGGTGACCTCAAGAGGTCAACTCGCATTGACGCCTATTGCAGCCATTCTATAACTCAGTAACTACTGGGCCGATCGCGAAGAAAACACCACCAGTCGAATCAGCGTATGCGATTTTATCAGCCGTTTCGAATATGGTGACCTCAGGTGACCTCGGTGACCTCAAAAGGTCAACTTAACGTTTTCGCCTATTGCAGCCATTCTATAACTCAGGAACTACTGGGTCGATCGTGATGAAAACAACACCAGTCGATTCAGCGTATGCGATTTCATCAGCCGTTTCGAATATGGTGACCTCAGGTGACCTCGGTGACCTTGGGAGGTCACATGACCGTTGTGGCCTATGGCAGCCATTCTATAACTCAGGAACTACTGGGCCGATCGTGACAAAAACACCACCAATCGAATCAGCGTAAGCGATTTCATCAGCCGTTCTGAATATGGTGACCTCAGGTGACCTCGGTGACCTCAAAAGGTGAACTTAACGTTTTCGCCTATTGCAGCCATTCTATAACTCAGGAACTACTGGGCCGATCGTGACGAAAACACCACCAGTCGATTCAGCGTATGCGATTTCATCAGCCGTTTCGAATATGGTGACCTCAGGTGACCTGGGTGACCTTGGGAGGTCACATGACCGTTGTGGCCTATGACAGCCATTCTATAACTCAGGAACTACTGGGCCGATCGCGACGAAAACACCACCAGTCGATTCAGCGTATGCGATTTCATCAGCCGTTTTGAATATGGTGACCTCAGGTGACATCGGTGACCTTGGGAGGTCACATGACCGTTGTGGCCTATGGCAGCCATTCTATAACTCAGGAACTGAGGTCACCTGAGGTCACCATATTCGAAACGGCTGATGAAATCGCATACGCTTAATCGACTGGTGGTGTTTTCGTCGCGATCGGCCCAGTAGTTCCTGAGTTATAGAATGGCTGCCTTAGGCCACATTGGTCATGTGACCTCCCAAGGTCACCGAGGTCACCTGAGGTCACCATATTCGAAACGGCTGATGAAATCGCATACGCTGATTCGACTGGTGGTGTTTTCGTCACGATCGGCCCAGTAGTTCCTGAGTTATTGAATGGCTGCAATAGGCCATATTGGTCATGTGACCTCCCAAGGTCACCGAGGTCACCTGAGGTCACCATATTCGAAACGGCTGATGAAATCGCATACGCTGAATCGACTGGTGGTGCTTTCGTCACGATCGGCCCAGTAGTTCCTGAGTTATAGAATGGCTGCCATAGGCCACATTGGTCATGTGACCTCCTAAGGTCACTGAGGTCACCTGAGGTCACCATATTCGAAACGGCTGATGAAATCGCATACGCGGAT